CATATGAATTATTAATAAAACGTGAGAAACTAGTAATAATATTTGTAGATATGTTTCCATGTCAAAGCAGTTTTATATCAACTGAAGGCCAACACTTAATTCACCTTTAGCAATGGACTGTACTGGCTCGGATTTGGTAAAACGAAGCTGTTTAGTCGAGAACAGAGGTCATTTAATCTCTCGTCAAAAGGATTAGAGATTAGGAACAGATTTGTGGAGTGGATTAAAACCCGGTATCAATGCACACTTCTTACTAGTGAAACATGTCCCAAACTTAGCCACAATTCACTGTATTGATGAATATGTTCAGATATACGTCGGTTTTCGTTATCTTTGCTCATAGACTTCCCTCTTTCCCGCCAGAATTTGATGCTTCTAATCCTGTGTTTTTTTGTTTTTTTTTTTTGTTTTTTTTTGTTTGTTTTTTACTTTGAACTTCTAACAATGTCTTTTTTTATGCCTAGCTATCTTTAACATTGTCCACTGGATGGCGCATCGTGATTATTGTTTTACGAGCAACTGGAGATTAATCGGGTTGCTTAATTTCTGTAAAAGATGTTAATACTCAAGTTGCTTAAACGATTACTTAAATTGTTAATGCTTAGTGTAATAAATTGAAAGAAATACGTTTTAATGTAAGTAAACAATTCTAAAGTTGTACAGAAAATAATGTCCGAGTTTAGAATAAAACTTTTAATTGTGTTCTAATATTTCATTGTGATAGTTACACGAAAATATATGACTCATTCTTAATGATTAAAATATCCTCTGTGTTAATTTTATAACAATCGCCTTCAGAATCCTGTTCTCAAATACGTGACGGACCCTGTGTGTAAGTTAGAAAATAAGATTAGGTTGTACGGAAAATAATGTCCGATTTTAGAATAAACTATCAATTTTGTTCTAATATATATTATTATTAAGAGCTTCTTAAAGATTAAAGTGTCATCTTTGTTAATTTTATATCTCTCTTCTTCATAATCCTGTTCTTAAATACGTGACGCACACTGTGTGTAAACTGGAATTGGGTTGTACATTCCTTTTAAAAATAAGATTTTAAATAATCATTATAATAGTTACACGAAAATTAACGCAATATATCATTATAATAGTTCTTAAAGATTAAAGTGTCATCTTTGTTAATTTTATATCTCTTCTTCATAATCCTATCCACTTTGTTAATGTCCGCTTTATTTTATATCAATCGCCTTTATGACGCAATCCTGTCATTCTCAATATACTTGAATCCTGTTGTGTGTACACGCACAATATAAACTGAATTGGGTTGTACGGAAAATAATGTCCGCTTTTAAAATAAGACTTTTAATTGAGTTCTAATATATCATTATAATAGTTACACGAAAATATATGACGCATTCTTAAAGATTAAAGTGTCATCTTTGTTAATTTTATATCTCTCTTCTTCTTAAAAGATTAAAGTGTCATCTTTGTTAATTTTATATCTCTCTTCATAATCCTGTTCTTAAATACGGAAAATAATGTCCGCTTTTAAAAATAAGACTTTTAATTGAGTTCTAATATCATTATAATAGTATAAAGTATCTTTTGTTAATTTTATTGTAAAGTGTCGGAAAAATAGTTGTATGACGCATTCTTAAATGTCCGCTTTAGGAAAATAATGTCCATTTGTAATTCTAAAATATATCGTCATAATAATTGCACTAAAATATATGACTCATTCCTAATTATTAACTTGTCAATTTTGTTAAATATCTATCAATCTCTTTCAGAATTTAACTTTCAATTCTCATTTTGAGCGTGAAAAAAAGAAGAGGTGCGTTTACTATTTGTGCTTGGTCATAATGCTTCTCAAACGGTTCGATAAATGGATTTTACAATGGAGTAATGGAGTGTGGAATCGGAGAGCCGAGTTCAAATTCCAGTCGAGTACATTGCATTTACTTACGTTTTAATAAACTTGGGAAAGGCATGAATCCAACTCACGCCCCCTGCTCCCAGCTATGGGTATATAGTAGGACAGACTGGGTTCTATAGACTTGGATGGCAACCAGTCTAGAAGAAAAAACTCTGAATTCAAAAACTGTATGTAGCCCTGGCGAAGCACATACTATACAGCTAAGGAAAGGATCGTTCGTATTGACTCGATGATCCCGACTACAGTCGACTCTTTAACAAACTGGGTTCTATAGCCTTGGATGGCAACCGGTCTAGGAGAAAGAAAAACTCTTAATTCAAAAACTGTATGTATCCCTGGTGAAGCACATACAATGCAACGAAGGAAAGGATGGTTCATATTGACTCGATGATCCCGACTACAGTCGACATGAATTCAGGGAAAGGTCAGAGTTCGACGTTTTGAAGTCTGTTCTGAATTTGATAAATTCGAATAATCCATTTCTTGATCGAATATTGACTTGTGATGAGAAATGGATTCTTTATGGCAATCGTAAACGATCAGATCAATGGCTTGATCATGATGGCGGATCCAAACACTTTCCAAAACTGAAATTGCAACAGCTGAAGATGGTGGTGACTGTCTAGTGGTCCACCATTGGCGTTATCCAGTAGAGATTTCTGGAATCTAACCATTTCCGTTGCAAAGAAGATGCAGAAACTGCATTCAAAAATTCCTTGGCGCCAGATTTGACTGCCATCAACTGAATGATTATTTAACGTCGAATTTTGTATGGGACCCCCATTGAGGATCAACCTCACTACTCACTACTAATGGTCAACCAGACTAACCTCGTTAATCCTTATCCTAAACTGAGGGAGCTTCGTTGTTTTAATAACGTTTAAAAAGAAAAGCATTCGTTGTTTTGTTTTTTTTTACTTAATAACATTTCTGAAGTTATTTACATTGTTCGAACTGTGGTCCTCATCTTTATTGTCATATTCACGAAGCTTCGGCCATTGTACGCCGCGTTCTTCTTCAGCTTATATATGTTGGAAATTCGAACTGTTCTAGTTCCACGTGCCATGCCTTTTCTGGATATCCCAGTCTCAGTTATCTCCCTTTAGTAACTCCAAGTTTTTTGTTGTTTTTTGTTTGTTTGTATTTTTGTTTTGTTTTTATTTTTTGTTTCTTTTGTTCACCTGAACTCTCAAATCTTTGTGTCGAGTCACTGAACTACTTGAAGCAACGCCTTTATCCACTGGGCCATGTGCCCTTAGGGACATCAGTGAAGGAATTTTGCGGGGACTTATAAACTTAATATCTTAGTAACAATATTTTGCCAGATCTCATATTATCATTTTGTTATTATTGTTGTTTTTCCCCAGTACTCTTTATTACTCATACAAACAGAATTTTTGTAGCTTTCAAAATGTTCAGTGAAAAGGGCCTTAGAAAGTTCCAAGCTGATTAAATCACTATAGATCTTTTACATATATATTTATATATATATTATGTTTGTTCCTGTTTATGTGTTTATTCTGACAATTAATCTTAAATAATAATTTAGTTTTTTTTTTGCTTTCCGGGTGCAAATAAGACTCTTACACAAACACTTCCCAGAATAAAGCACCCTACACAAAATATTCAACAAAAACACAGTAAAAATCAGCTAAAGTTGCACCGAGAAAAAGGCACAAATAATAGAAAAACACAAAAGGAAAATTATCAACAGAGCACACGAACAAATTAAACCCACGTGTAACTGCAGAATAATGAACGAATGTCCCTTAAACGGTAATTGCTTACAAAACAACGTAATATACCAAGCCACGATAAAATCACCAGATAATGAAGAAAAAGTATACATAGGAATAACTGAAGGACCCTGGAAACAAAGAATTTATGCACACAAAACATCTTTCACAAATAGTAAATACGCGAACAGCACAATGCTTTCTAAGTATGTCTGGGAAATTAAAAACAAAACTCAAATCACACCAAAAATATCTTGGAAAATAAGGAAAAGATCATCAGCCTACAACAACCAATCCAAAACTTTCAAACTTTGCTTAGAGGAAAAATATCTATCATTACCTTCCCAGACCAAAATAAATTATTAAATAAACGATCCGAGTTGATCTCAAAATGCAGACATGAAAACAAATTTTTACTACGTTACTTAAAAATCGAAAACTGAGAAAAAAAAAAATAAAATAAAATAAAATAAATAAATAAACAAAATGACAATAAAATAAATTAGCCCAAACAAATTACCAAATCACACCTGTTAGAATAGACGAAATAGAATAAATAAATAAAAAATAAAAAACAAAATCCATGAACCCAAATAAATAAAGTAAATAGTAAACAAATTAACAAAACATTATGACCAAAATATTAGTCAGACCATAAAAATCAAACCAAAAATCGGACGAAAAACATAGCTATAACTTTTATATAACGATAAAAAAACTACGTTACTTAAAAATAAAAAAACTGAAAAGAGTAAATAAAAATGTACAGTATCATAAATAAATAATAAAAAACGAGTAAAATAAATTAATCTAAATTAATCCAAATACATAAATAAACTAACAAACTGATTCCGATAAATTAACCGTTAGAAAAAAAAAACAAGTAAAGATAATCAATCCAAATAAATAAATGAAGTAATAAACAAATTAAAAACTGCTCCCGCCAAAATAATAGTTAGAATAAACTACAACAATCAACCCCAAAATTGAATAAATAGCTTTATTTATCTTCCTAAACCAAAACAAAACTATTAAATAAGGGATATAAACAAATTTTTACTACGTTAATAAAACACCGATTAAAATAAAAATAAATAAATAAATATATAAGATAAGAAAAAAAATGAAAAATAAACATAAATAAAAACAAGCAAAATAATTTAAGCCAAATAAATAAATAAACAGATAAACGACTTCCGGCAAAATAACCGCCAAAATAGACTACCCACAATACACCACTGACCTGTATATATAAATTACCAAGAAAAAAAAAACACTCGTGACCTGACGAGTGCATCTAGCATGAAACAGCCTTTCGCCTCTAAGTGTCGACTTCAATATTCACTCATATATATATATATATATATATATATATATATATATATATTTGCCTTGATAGAGTCCCTCAGAGGATGAAAGATAAGTTTTCCTTTTGTCTTTATTTATATTATCCTTTTAGAGATATACTCTATCTGAAATTTTTACACAGGCACACAGACAGATAGATAGATAGATAGATAGATAGATAGATAGATAGATAATCAGACTTGTCTGGAAAGTATTCAGCCATTTTGTAATTAGAAATCGAGACCACATTACTGCGGACAACTGAGTTTACGTATGGTTTTGTTTTGTTTTTATCTGGAGACAGCATGATCCCAGCTCTGTCATCCCTCTTTTCCTCCGCCCCAACCACTCAAATCAAATTTGACTAATAATGATTTCTGGCATTTATGTTATATCAAAACTAAAACCGCTCTTCAGGTCATGTGGAAGATATTAACGAGAAAGTAACGAGGCGATTGATGGCTGTCCCTAAAAAGGACTTTTTAGATCGTTTTTTAAAAGTGAAATGGAGGCTGTTATGCGTGTTTGATACCATAAAAAAAGGAATCCGTCAGAAGAGGTCTAAGGTGGCATTCTTTCAAGAATAAGCTCTTTAATATGAAGTGGCGGAGTGTTTTACAGACCGCTAGCGTATATCTGCGCATGCGTGTTTAGCTAAAGTCAGATAAGCAAAATGTTTTATTTGCTTTTATTCGTTATTTTCACAATCTAATAATCAATTTGTGTCCGTATTGTATAATAACTTCTTCCCACGCACGTCTCTCTATAAATGGCATTTTTATAACTTTATAATTGATTTATCCTAACATAGTGGCCGCCCAAAGTGATGGGATTATCTAAGTATAGATTGGTACTTCCGCCTAGCTTCTATCTATCCGGCATTAAAGTGTCTCTTTACGAGTCTCTGTTTCTGTTTATTAACAATGACTTGCCATGACTTCTTGGGGAAAATAGTTCCTCGTTGCCTTCTGCATTTGGATTTAAATGTAGAATAAACCTTCTCTTAAAATGGTTGTCATCAAACACTCAAAAGATAGAAGATGAGATGGATTCCTGCCCTTTTTAAGATATTAGTGTAAAAGTGAATGCAGTAGACGAGGTGGACAATTGAACTTGATTTGTCGATTGCATTTTCTGTGTTGAAAACCATTGTATTGCCAACAGCTACCCACATTTAACTTGCTGTTCAACTAGAACGGGGGTCTAAAGAATAAGTCACGTGATTGTTTGCCTCTAGTTTGGTCTTTCCAATCCATACAGAATTCACTTAATAATTATATAAAGCCCCCACCAAATTGACATCATTTAAAATGTGAAAATCGGAGTAACTGCATGTCCCAGACAAACAAAATTAAATAGGCTTCATGCTGAACAACAAAAGATTTATTTATCAATATTCAAACAAGATATCCAAAAGGATGTAGATTTTATAACCGATTTCACAAAGCTTCATAATTTTCAATATGCACACCACTTGTGACACGAGACACGTCAAGCCAGCTCCTGCCAAACACGTTGTAGCATGTTTGCGTAACATTCTCCAGTGTCTCAGTGATTCTCTGCATAAGTCCCTCTAGGCTTGTAGGAAGAGGGGGATATAGACCTGTCCTTTCACATAGCCCTATAGAAAAAAATCACATGGTGTCAAGTCAGGTGAACATGATCATTATCACTGGCATGTCTAGTCCATGCTCCTTTTAGATTCTTCTTGAGATAAGTCGGGACAGTCAACTTAGTTTTGACACATTTCGTTAAAATTTGAACGAGAATTCGGCTATGATATTAGGCTACAAAAAGATGTCAATTTTAAGGGGGCGCCATATTTTGGGGATGCCCTTTTTGGGGGACGCCCTTTTTAATGTCATGTCCCTTCAGAGCCTAGGTGATCATGACGCTCTTAAGATTCCATTTATTTATTATCTGTGATTTGCTATGACTTTTTTTGAGAAAAATAGTCGAATGCCCCAACAAGCATTTGCTCTGGTCTCAGTAACAACTCCAACAGGTTAGACACAGTAAAACCGGCAACTTCTCTCGAAAAGAAACTCTAATCAGTTGTTATCCGGGGCAAGAAATGGCTTGTTAATTTTAACGCCTCCAAACAGAACAGTTTTCGTTTAATCAGTATAGAGAACCTTTTTTCTGGCTCCAGTAGAGCCACTCTTTACGCCTTTTGGGAGCTTCATGTTTTCCACTAGCATGAAGTGGAATAATTGTATTGAATTTTTTGCGTGGTCTGCTGCTTAGAAGTTGATCCACTATGTCGTGACAGACAGTCTTTCTCGTCAGAATTCATCTTGAACATTTATATTTCTACCGTTCGTCCGCGTTTTGAATATTGCTGCCACATGTGGTTTGGTCTCCCGGCTATATATATATATATATATATATATATATATATATATATATATATATATATATATATATATATAGATTCTTGACAAAAACTAAAATAAATATCTGAAATATTATTTGTCGTTACCGGGCAACTCGACTACAGCCACTTTCTCGTTGACGTGA